TCACCAAAGTGGCCTAAGCTCCCTGGACCTCATTATCCCTTATAAGCCGTCAAAGATGCAATACGTCCCCCCAAGGTGGGCGAGAGTCAGTGCTCCCCTGATAACACACGAACACTGGAATGCGTCCAACCCGAGAGCCGTGCGCAGAGCCGCTGGGTCTGCGCGGCGGCTGACACCTCCCCTCAGCTTGACCCTGCACGCACAGCAGTGGCCGGCTCTGGAGGGGACTCGCGCGGAGCCCTGAGCATGCGCGGAAGACGCGACCCGGCCCCCTCCGCGGCCAGAGTTCTCGGGGCAACGCCTCCCAGGGACGCATGCCAGCCTCTCTTCCGTTCCACGCGTGCCCTGCCCTCACCTCTACAGTCGGGATCGGCGCGGCCAGCTGCTCCGGGGTCAAGTTCCCAAACTCCTCCGCAAGCACGTCCATGCTGTTCACGACAAAGGAAGGAGCAAACAGAACCCTCACGCGCGCCTTCGCTGCGCCAGGAAAACTGCTGTACCTGTGGAGAGCGGTGCGCGGTGGCCTAAATAGTCCCCGCCGCGCAACTTAACTGGAGCCGCGGAAGAAAGGTTCCGCCTGCTCTCGGTCAGAACCTGCGGTTGAACCCGGATGTGGCTGAGGCGGAGCTTGGAAACTGCGCCCCCTGGTGTCGCTCGGAAGTCTCCCCTGGGTAATCTTAAACCCCAGCGGACAGATTTTGGCATTTATCCCACAATCAAGACCAACAACGCGTATTGTCATTTTAAAAATAATTCAAAGAAAACGGTAACTGGATAATTTGCACAACTTGAGCCACCGAGGCATAGAATTCATTTAATTTAAGCCCAAACTACACATTGTATAGTATGGAAAAAATAGGAAATTTACCAAATGCCTAGTAGGAGGGGATTGGTTAAAAAATTAAGGTACATGCGTGTGATGGCCTATTATACAATCATTAAAATGACCACAAAGTGAGGAGGAGTTAACTTACCTCGAGAGAAGAGCATAACAGGTCAGTAATTAAGATAGTGTTATATTCTAAAAGGGCTAGACAGAAGATCCAGGAGTAAATTCCAGCAGAAATTTAGTATGAAAAGATGACATTTTAAAAGAGCAGGGGAAAGATGGCTTATCCAAAAATTGATGTTGGAGCTGCTGATTAGCCATTTAGAAAAAAAATACATCTAAGTAAATACTATACGGATTAAATATTTAAATGTTAACAAAACCTTAGAAGAAAATATAAAGTGAGTAAATCCATAACACTGAGCTGTGGCCACCTTCAAGGATAGCAATATAGTCAGAAATCATAAGGAAAATATTCATAGATTGGATAATATAATTCTAGCCATAGGTTTATGATTCCACGGAAAATTTAAAATTTTCTGAACAGATGGTTAAAAATCACCATGAATGGTTTTCAAGAAATACAAGTTGGGGCTCCACTGGTGGTGCAGTGGTTGAGCGTCCGCCTGCCGATGCTAGGGGACGCGGGTTCGTGCCCAGGTTCGGGAGGATCCCACATGCCGCAGAGCGGCTGGGCCCGTGAGCCATGGCCGCTGAGCCTGCGCGTCCGGAGCCTGTGCTCCGCAACGGGAGAGGCCACAACAGTGAGAGGCCTGCGTACCGCAAAAAAGAAAGAAAGAAAGAAAGAAATACAAGTTGGCAGAAGAGAAAGGATTGGTATCCCTAATTTAAAGTGAACTTACAGGGACTTCCCTGGTGGCGCAGTGGTTAAGAATCTGCCTGCTAGTGCAGGGGACACGGGTTTGATCCCTGGTCCGGGAAGATCCCACGTGCCACGGAGCAACTAAGCCCATGCGCCACAACTACTGAGCCTGTACTCCAGAGCCTGTGAGCCACAACTACTGAAACCCGTGCACCTAGAGCCCGTGCTCCGCAACAAGAGAAGCCACCGCAATGAGAAGCCTGCGCACCGCAACGAAGAGTAGTCCCCCCTCGCGTCAACTAGAGAAAGCTCACGCGCAGCGATGAAGACCCAACGCAACCAAAAAGAAAAAAAAAATGATAGAGCCTGCTTTGTAGCGGGTTGTGCAGTTATATGAGATCATTTATATAAAGTGCTTAGGCCATAATATGGTAATTATTTTACTACATTCTGAAAGAAAAAAATTATATTCAGGTTCCCTACCATGCCGGCAAGTGCAGCTGCTCGGACAGATTACTAGGTTTCCTTTCTTCTTCATAAAGCCTTGCGATAAATCGCTAGGTCCCTTTCCCTTGAAAGCTGAACAAGACTAACATACCAAGCTTAGACATGAAAAGATAAAGCTTCACTTGAAAAACAGAGAACAAGAGGGTACAAGTTGCTAGTACAAATGTACATTCTAAAAGGTTAGATTAAATCATGGAGGATAAAGTCATACCTGATTTACTAAATGAAATTAGAACATGTTGGGTGTGTCACTATCCTTTGAAGTTGACAGCAAGGACAATAACTGCAGCCTTCTATGTACCCTTGAGTTTCTCTGCCAATGACAACATTGGGCTTAATGAACCACGGTTGTGATATGATTTGACAATTTTTGGTCTTATGTACTTAAGTACTCAATCATCACTTCTCAAAATACTAAAACCTCTTGAAGTGTGAAAGAGATTTAGGACAAATAAATGAGCTATTGTAATGTATTCTGTCCACATTATGCTTTAGAGTTTGTAGACAATTTCAAATACATTATCTCATTTGATTCTCACAATAGCTCTGCGAGGCAGTCAGGTAGGTTAGGAAATGGATGTTCAGGGAGACTAAAAGATTGGCTTGAGGTCATATAGCTAAGAAGCAGAAGTGAATTCAAACTCAGGCCCTGTGACTCTCAGTCCCATGCTACTTTTACTGAATAATGTTGGTACCTAACATCCTCAGAGGTAGAACAGGCTGAATTTTAGTTTTAAGAAGGATTCAAGTGAAAAAAATATGTTGCACAAAAGATGGCACTCCCCACGCCCATGGCATACTTAGCCAATCAGCCACAGAATTCTTTACTGCTTGTCCTGGATTTAGCTTCAAAATCCTCTCAACACAGTGCTCTGGGAGCTAATACTAAAAGATCAGAGCAGACACATGACCTTAAACTTATTTTCATGGGACTTCCCTGGTGGTCCAGTGGTTAGGACATTGCGCTTCCAACGCAGGGGTCTTGGATTCGATCCCTGGTTGGGGAACTAAGATCCTGCATGCCGTGTGGCATGGCCAAAGTGGGGGGGGGGGGGGGAATCAGGTAATTCCTGCATGGTCTACTAGGCAATGCCCAGCACTTCATTAACACAAGGACCCAGTAAGTTCTGTTGTTCATTAAAAAAATAAACTTATTTTCATAAAAAGATGATTCATAGAGCTTATTCAAGGAAACTGGAGGGATCTGAGGTGGAGACTGTTGCTAATGCTTACCAATACCCAACACCCACACCCGCCTTTTCTCCTGGGCACATCTTCCTGACTCCTTTGCAGTTAGATGGGGCCAGACGACCATCTAGCCATCTAGTCATCAACTAACGATCTAGTTAGTTGTGCCCAATGTACCATGAGTAGAAGTGGGTGATCCTTTTCTTTCCCTTATCTTCTGAGTGATTAAGGAGACGCTTAAGGTTTCAGGGACTATTGAGTTACAAGATGGATGGAAGTTGGGTCTCTAAGTGGCTGAATGGAGTAGGGTCCGCGACACACACACCAACCTTCCCTAAACTTTGAACTACAATTTGAGAAATAAGGTTATGCTGAGGCTTTGCTCAGCAGTTCATCTACACACACCAATAAAGGTTGACTTCAATGACTGACTATGCCCTTCCTGGAATCATCTTTTCGTGTCCTTCTTAGAGGCGATACTGGATTGGGGGACCTCTTCACACATTTCTCCCATTCAAGTTTTAAAGACCTCATGAGTGTACATGATAGTGGATTTGTTTTTCTCTTTCTGATCCTTCCTTTTTGGAAGAAATCCCTAGTTGGGTGACCTTGGTGGGAACACAGGAGTCTAAGGGGCAGCTACTGTCTTGTTCCATCCCCTGCAAATTAGAGCCTGTGCCCTTGATAGAGATTCTTCCAACTGAATGTTGATATCTGAGACTTTAAATCTTGAGCAAATGAGGCAAAGCAGCAAGGACAACTGAGAAACCAATCTCTAAATCCAGCCTGGCTGAGGTCCTATGCTTGCATTGCCTTGGTTCTTCCCATCTTCCAAGCTTAATTCCCCAGGTAAAACAGATTCCATGAGGTACTTAAACCTCTCCAATAAACTCTCTTTCTGCTTCTGTTAGCTAGAGTCCATTTCTACATGGACTCTTGTGCCACGTGTTGTTCATGCGTACACACATACGCACACAACACAGAATATTCTAGCACCAACAGCAAGTGTTCTTTGCCAGGGCAATCCTTCCAAAACATAAATTGCTTGTAACCTTCTCCTGTTTCAAAAGATTCAATGGTTATCTCTTTCAGGACAAAACCCTCCCTTTTGAGCATGACATCCCAGAAGCCTTTTACCTTGCTTGTTTCCCCTCTCATCACTTCCCCTCTTCTATAGGCTGGACCCTTGGCTTACCATTTCTCCACACCGTCGTACCCACTGTGCACTTGGCCTCTTGTGCCTTTCCCTTTCTTGGCAAGTTCCTGCCTACCCTTCATGCTTTAGCTCAAGGGTGACCTCCACGAAACACAGTCTGGCAGTATGTCCTCTAACACCACGTGTATGTGTTTTATTGCCTGAATTACACTTTATTGCAATTGTTCACAAGTTTATCCTTCTTATTAGGTTACAAACTTCTTCAGGACAGTGTCTGTCTAGTCATCTGTGTATCAAAGATCTAGGATACTTCTTGGCACACTGTAGATGCTCAATAGCTATCTGTTGACTGAATGAACGAATGAACATGACCTGATGTCTGTGAGGCTCTGATGATCAGCAGAAGAATCCTTCTAAAACAACTGCAATAAAGACTGTGCAGTATTCCAGCCCTGAGTTACCCAAAGGTGGTTTAGAAAACAAAGAGACACCAGCTATCTTGAAATAATTTTTAATGTTTTAAAATTTAACTAGTGCACACAATACATGTTTTAGCAGAAGAAGAATGAAAATGTGTGTATGGTGTTTAATAAAATTGACATTACGAAACAAGACCATGTTAAGAAAATTCTCAAAAGTAAAAGTAAACATTTCAGTAAAAACCAAGTAAACAACACGCTAAGGGATAGGATTTTAAAATCCTAATAAATGTAGTTGCCTAAATCCAGACTTCAGACATTGAGATTTACTTTGTCACTTTAAAAAAAAAAAAAAAAGGCAGAATGCCCTTCATTTTAAATGCATTTTTTAAAAATGTTTGCACATTGTTTTCCTGCTGGCAACTCAGTATAATCAAGTATATAAGAATACCAGACGGATTCCAATCTGATAATAAAAAAGGGTATCACCTGGTCTTCTGGTTAAATATACAGTTCACCTCAGAAAGCAACAAAAAGTTATGCTACACATTACATTTCTATGTCACACCCTCCCTGCTGTCCAGGCCCCAAAGTGAACACAGTTGAAAACTACTTCAACGTAAGAGAAAATGAAAACAAAAATCTACAGCACCTTTTGGTTTCTAAGCATAGGAAACAGGCAGAATGGAAATACAGGAAGAGGGAAACAATGGGTGAGACCAATGATGTGCTCTTCAGTAAAATTCCATTTATACACAGCTGCTCAAATGGACAGAATGGCTGATTTATGTATTGGTCACATGAGAAAAAAAAAAACTGACTTTCAAAATTTCCTCGAATTCTGGCAGATCCCTCCAAAATGTAAAGACCGGAGATAATTTACTCACACAATCATTTCCTAGAACTTTATCAAATAATTAGGTAGCACCATAATGGTGAAGGTCGTGGTGAGGAAGAGAGGAAGAAAGGAGCATTATTTTTTACTTCCTACCCACTCTTCCCCATCAAATTACTAAGGTTCAATGAGTCCTCAGAAAACCAAACAATCAAAATGCATTTCATGCAAATAAAGCACTTTCCAGGCTGAGTCCGTCCAAAAGGTAGTGCTTCACTTAACATTTCGGAAGAAGTATGTAATTCCAGGACAGTATGCAGACTTCTCTAGAATCCTGACAACCAGCGCCAGCTTGGCAAAGTTTAATTAAATGCATAAGAGTGGCAAATGATGATGATACTTAGAAGAGCATCTTGGTCACAGCAGGTAAGAATTTAATCAGCGCAGAAGGCGTTTGCTAGCACATTATATGGTTAAAAATTCCAGAGTTCAACTGTTTCTTTTTCAGACATGAATTTCACTGAGAATGGGGATCTTGTTTTATCAATTTTTCTTCTTACAAGTAAAACAATTCAAACCACTCCTGCCTTATGTAAAAATATTAAAATCTTATATAAACCTTATCAGTGGCCTGAGAAATGCAGGGACATTCACGAAGAGATGTGTGCAAAAACTGTTTCCCTCAGAGAGCAGGATAAGTGAGAAGAATCCACCCTCTAGAATAAAATTTTAGAAGGGGTTTGTTTCTATTTTCACTAAATGAACAAGGGAGGTTTTATCTAAAATTTGTATGTAGCTTTAAAATGTATTTAATACATTGAAATTCTAAACAAATACTGACAATTGGTATCACAAAGTGTGATTTGGTATATTTGTAGAATTTGAGGACTTATACTACGTAAGCTCCTATTACACATTAATAAAATTTAATTGTACATTTAAAATACGATTATCCCTTACTTCACATCATTTATTCAGAACATCAATCCCCTTGGTTATGTTCACAACTTTCAACCCCTTAAGAAGCTGTACCAAAGTTAAAAAAAATCATTAGATTTGATGTGAAACACAACTCCTTACAGGTTGAATGAATAAGCCAGATATATATGCTTAAGAAAACATTTACAAGTATTATATAGGTAATATAATTAATTACAAATTGCTTGCTGTTCATTAAAAACATCTCTTTTGGACTTGTAGATAGTGCACAAACAGGGTCATTACGACGTGCATGTCTTTGCAATGCTAATATTACTGGATTATACAGATTCGGGCTAACGCTGTGCCACACACAGGACTGAGGACGTGCTGCATCTGAAATGCCATTGATGGAAACAGACTGGGTACCTAAGTGCTGGGCTTCCAATCTCTTATCCAATGTCAGTTCCTCTTTAGTTAGTAGATGATGAAGCTTCCGCCTTCCCCGTGGCTTCCTCACTAAAGAGCAGCTTTCGAAGTATATTTGCATAAAATGGTCCATACACTTGTTTGTTGAGATTCACAATGCTTGCATATTGCGAGCCTAGCACCTCTAGCTCCTGCTGAACGACAGTGAGGCCTCCTGGCACGGCAGGCATGCATTTTTGAGGGTTTGGCAGACAAAGCAGGCTTTTCATGTATAGCTGGATTCGTTTTTCTGGGGAAAAAGAAGGCATCTTTATCTGTCCCATTATTAAAGCACGTGATTTTGAAAAATGAGAACAGTAATTGTGGTATGTGGATTGCGGCAACATTCTCAGTTCTTGACCTCTCCCTATATTCGTGCCCTTTCCAAAGCAGCCTTGCAGCTCTTCCCATCAAAGACTGGAGTCTGTTTCCCCATGCCTTGGAGCAGGGATGGCCTTACGACTTGCTTTGGCCAATGCAGAATGTGGCAGAAGTGCTGGTATGTGAGTTCCGTGCTCAAGAGGCATTGTTGGAACCCACTCTCTCTGCCTACCACCACCATGTAAACAAGCCTGGGCCTGATGAGGGACCATGTTGAGGGAAGCCCAGTTGTTCCATCTTAGGCCATCCTAGACCAACCTGTAGCCAACCAACTCCCAAGCACCTGAGAGAGCCCAGGCAAGATCAGCAGAGCTACCCACCCAAGCCACAGCTGACCACAAATGCACGCGTGCGTCCAGCAAGATCAAAAGAACTACCCAGTTGCCCCACAGACTTGTAAGCAATGACAGATGGAGTTTTGGGGTGATTTGTTATGCAGTAATAGCTAGCTAACAAAACATGCATAGCATTTTCAGGGTGGGGGTGGGGAATCTTTTACAAAAACTCAACGTCCATAATTTTAGTTATGTATCCTAAAGCTGAGTTTGTAAACTGGCACTGCCAGTTTGGTCCACGTAGTGTTTTTTAAAAATAGAAGTCATTTAAAACGAGGGGATTTCACATAGAAAATCAAAGTTTTGGTTCTTCTTGAAAAATCTACAGATCTGGCAAACTTGGGGGCCCAAACTGCCACATGGCAAGGGTGAGCACACATCCGAGTTTTCACAGGACAGTTAAAGTTGACACCTGCTGTCCTGGCATAATTAAAAAGAGCACTCTCAAAAGTGTCCTGGGGTGGAAAACAAATTATATGATCACCCCCCATGTGGGCAACAATCTGGAGTCACTAAGGAAGGGCCACCCCACCGGCACTGCCACCTTCTCCATTCTTCCTGCTTCAGTGCCTCAGTGTATCTGCATTTGAGACGACTTCACAAAAGCATGCAAATGCATAAATAAGTGAAGCTGCAGTGGTATTGGACAAATGGTACTGGACAAGCCTGACATGCCCCAGCCCATGCTGCTCCAAGGATGTTCTCTGGCTTTGGAAACAGAAATCTCACAAATAAGGAAGTTTACTAAGGAAAATACACTCCATCGAATACAGATAACTATATTGCTGAAACTTATCTCTAAACACTTCTCCCAAAAATCACACGTTTCCGCCAGACTTGACCTAGAACTCAAAGTCCCCAGTGTCCCATGTCCGTATCTTAGCCCAAATTGTTTCCTCTTACTAGAATGCCTTTCCACCTCACCTCATCTCTGCACAAGTCGAGAGCATACTTCAATGCTGATGCTAAAGTCACCTCCTTTCTGTGGCTTTTCCTAGCAACTGTTACACTATCACCCCATATTACTGTTACTTGAGAATTTATCTCTCCCTTCTTAGACAGTGGGCTTTCTAAGGGTCAGGGCTATTTTTTTGTCTTATAATATCCCTGGTCTGGCATGTGGCAGGCACGTCATAAATGCTGCTTGAATTAAAGTGAGACTGGAATGAAAAAGGTCTATAAAGATAAACCCCAAACTGAAAGCAATGGGAGCCAGAGAGGAATGGGGGCTGGAGAAGGCAGTCAAAGATGACTTGGGCCTTATCCATAATTTGTCAACAAGAGGAAATTATTCATGGATGTATCACTTGTATAATTGAAAATTACTTTTTAAAAATGTAGGTGGCTATTAGCATGCAAATAATTTACACAGCAGGTAATCCATAAATCATTTTTACATGGTTTTGGTATATATTTGAAAAAAAATCATTTGAAGGAAAACTCCCTCTCTAATTACCTTTTTTAATGGCTAAGAACACAGTGGGAGTTTTAATTCCATTGTAGACAAATAGCACATCAAGTAAGAACAAAAGAAGGCAGACTGTGGATACCATGAACTACAGGGGAGGAAAGGCAGGGGTAAATTGGAGCCCCTCTTCTGTCCCAGGGATCCCTCTAAGTGCTTAATGTATTCCAGCTCCTCTGCAGGCAGAGAATTAAGAGGAAACTGTCTGCTAAATTCCCCGTTAGGCTGGCTGGTCGACTCTCAGAAGCTGGGTCTATTTTCATCACAGATACGGTCCAAACACTTTTCACAAGGCTGTTTAAAGAATGAAACTTTTTCAAAACTGTTATTATGCTGACAAGTGGTTCTATCTCCTCTGTGGATGAGTCACAGTTTTTAGGCCAAGACTAAGGTGACAGAAGCGTCTGTCCATTTAGGAGCAGCCAAATGGAGCCCCTGCCAAAGACGTGCCCTTGGCTTCCAGAGCCCAGGGAGGGGCGCTCAAGTGAGTCATTCATGTTGCTAGGCAACAATACTTTGAATGAGGTTACAAAATACTTCCAGTCTGCAAAAGAACAGGAAACTTGGACTGGGGAGAGCTGGGTGGAAAAAAGTTGCTTGACTGGATTTTAAGAGGCCACCTCGGGGTGGGGCATCTCCTGGATCCCAGCTTCCCTCTCCCTTGACATTGCAAGTACTTCCCTGATCTAAAGCAAGGGCATGGAGGACACCCAATGCTCTGGCCACGCTGCCAATGAGCAGCAGGGCTCCAGCTTTGACTGTAGTGCCCATTAGAGCAGTTAAGAATATGAGTCACTCTCCCCACCCCACCCCACCCTCTCTCTCTCTTACACTTCTTCCTCTTCCTCTTCCTCTTTCTCTTTCTCTTTCTCTGCTATGTGAGGACACAACAAGAAAGCAACCATCTACCAGCCAAGAAGAGAGCTCTCACCAGAGCCCAACCACGCTGGCACCTTGACCCCAGACTTCCAGCCTCTAGAACTGTAAGAAAATAAATTTCTTCTGTTAAAAAAAAAAAAAAAAAAAAGAATATGAGTCAGAGAGGCTCAGGAAGAAGCCATACTCTGCAACCTGCTAGTTATGCGACCTCAGGTGAGTTACTTAACTGCTCTAAGTCTCCATGCATTCACCCATTCCACAGATATTTATTAAAGGTCATCTCTGGGCCCAGCATGGTATGGGGAAATAGCAGTGAGCAAATATGCACCCCGTCCTCGTGAGGCCTGTGCACTAGTGGGGGGTCTCTTGGTACGTGGCAGACTGCAGACAGCCTGCCCCTCTTTCTCCGGGGAACACCGTCTCCCTGTTGTTAGCGTTCAGCTGGAGACTACGGGCCATGAGATGCATGTCAGCAGTGAAGGTTACGCAGGGAAGGGCTCAGCCACAGGCAGCTGCGGTTATGCTGTGTGTGTTACTGTTTTCACCCGTCACCCCTCAGCAGCCCACATGCTACACACCAGACGGCTCTTTTCTTGGGGGTGGGGTTGAAGCCTAGAGCTATTAAGTGGCCTGGGTGGCCTAGATCGCCAGCATCCCGTGTCCCCAGGGATAAGAATGAGAGAAACTATTTAAGAGCCTCAACTAAATAATAGCAAGTACTTGTATTCTTAGGGAAGTCAGTGCTGTACTTTGAAAACTTGCAGATTAGTCCTGGAATGTTAGTATATTCGAATGCCACACTCTTTCCTCTGTCTGGTCCATTCCTCACCCTCTGCAGTAGACACCAGCTTTGTGTCCCACAGCACCCTCTTCCCTTCTTAAGGCCACAGCACCCTGATCTTGTTTGGGGGAAAACAATCTCTTCCCTAGTTTCAGACCAGGTGTTCACCAGGAATTGAACCCGTCTCAAGTTTAAGTTTCTTCCCTTCTGGCCACCATGAATGAGTCAACAATGGGACATGACCACCGTCTGGAGCCAATGAGACTCAATTCTGGGGTCACCGTCTGAGCTAAGAGGGGAGGGAAACTGACTCCTTTTTTTTTTTTTTGGCTTGACTTAAACACAGAAAGATGTAGGCTGGAGCTGAAGTCATCTTGCTGTGTTGGGAAGAGACCCTCCATGGAGACAGCCAGCCCAGAGGAAGGCAGTGCTGAGGGACCAAAGTGGGGAAACCAGCACCCAGGACATAGTTTAAGCTCTGATTAAGCTGTACCAGCAGCCAATCCCACCCTGCTGTTTTCTGTTATATGAGCAAACACGTTCCCTTTTTGCTTAAGCCACTTTAGAAGCTTCGGTTCTCTGTCACAAGTAATAGAAAAAGTCCTAACTGATACATTCTCCCCAACTCACCAATACAACTTGATCTAAAGATATTAATTTTCTTAGCAATCAAGTACAAAAAAAAGTCTACCCACTATGCCTCTCAGTTGCAGGGTCTTTTTAACTCTTTGTCTCTCTAAGCCTGACCAACATAGGGGCCTCAGCTCACACAGGTTTGCTTCCAGCAGAGGCCGTGTCTGCTTTCCGGGAACACACTGCCAGCTGGTTTGGACTGCTCTATTGGTCTAGGAATTTAACATTACTGGCAGCATGATGTGATTTTCTTCATAGAAACCTATCGGCTGGGTAGTAAGGTAGAAGGCTCTGAAACATCCTCCCACTCTACTACATATACACACAGAAGCAGCAATGAGTCCCAAACCTTTGAAAATATTAATGCTTTCTTCATATTTTCAATATTTATTCACTCACCAAAAGAAGCAGGTAATCTGTTTAAGACTAAAATTTGACTGACACTTAACATTAGCCAAAACCAGCATGGTAAAGCAAATTGGAATTGAAGCAGAAACCAATAAAAACATGAAGACTCACCAATCAAGGACCAGATAGGATTGTCCTCCTCTTCAATGCTTGAGAACTGACCTACAAGATTAGCTTGAACCTCAGCATTTAGAGCAGGTAAACCTCTCTCCATCAGGGTCTTGTTTACCTCAACACAAGTCTGAACACCGATAGAATTTAGGACTTCCTTCAAGTTAAAGGTCCTACAAAACATGAAACAAAAATCCCATCAGGGATAGTTTTTATTTAGCAGGATTTTTGTTGTTGTTGTTGTTTTAAAAATATACCAACTTATTTCAAATGTCTACCAATTTTTCCCTATACAGACAATAATTACCTCTATTAGAATGAGCTTAGAAAATAGTAACTCCTCCCAACCATCCTTTATATGTAGCAGATTTGTAAATGCTTAAAACCACTCAATTCTGTGGGTAATGTTTAAATAGGAAAGCACAGACAGAAAAATGTGGTCCCTGAAAATAAGTCTGCAACCCCATCTTCAGGCAGGGCTATCAGAAAGGGAAAGAGTAGGTTCTTTAAAAAGTAACCTATTTACTTCTTAAAATAAACCCTCTGGTCTGAGTGGATTCATTCATAGATTTTTTTTTTTAATGTGCTTGGAAAATGAGGTACGATCAATTCCTTTATCCATGCCTGAGCAGTAAATCTCTAACACCAATCAAAAACAAGAAATGAAGATATTCAGAAGCCAATACCATGAAGACAAGTTACCTAAAACTCTTGACCTATCATGATGAAAGGTAAGAAACTCCTTGGATTGTTACTTTCAAGTAACTGATCAGTAATACCAAATATATACAGTCCAGAAAACTGTAAAAAGTAGTTAGTGGTGGGTTATTTAACAGGTAAGGAAAAAGGTGTAATTAGAAACAGCATTTGTTGGATCCGCACTATTGGGGAATGATGATGGAAAATTGCTGCTCACTAGTCAGAAAGGGTCTTTAAGACAACTTTGTGCAAAATGGGAATTAAAGGATAAGAGATGGGGGGATGGGGTGGGGGGAATTAGACAAAACAATAATATAATCAGATAAGCAAAACAACTATAAAGAAGATGACTTAACAACTAAGTAGTTATTAAAAGCTGACGTTTATCAAGCACTTACCATGTGCCAGACACCTGCCCTAGGTGCTTCACACAGTCATCTTAAGTTTCCATTAACCCTAAGGTAGGTACAATTATTCCCTTTTTACAAATGAGGAGGTGAGACTCAGAGTGATTCAGGATCTTATTCAATGGTACATAACAAGTCAGTAGCATAGCTAGGATTTAAACCCTGGTTTGCCTGACCCCAAAGCCTGTCCTCTTAGTAACCATTTTGCTGTGTGCTTTATATTAATACTTAAGCAGTACTGGGGGTTCACTAAAGGCTTGATAAATTAGAATTCCTGGAAAATAATGGTTACCCAGTGTGGGAAAATGCTAAAAGAAGATCTATTGCAAAACCAGAGCCAGAGCAGATTTCTTTTTATTATAGGTCTTGGGTCCTGGAACGTGAAATAAAGGAGCCTGGCAAGTTAGCACCAGGATCAGTAGAAAGGGCAGGGCCTTGACATAGGCCAGGGTTCAGGCCTTGGCTTGTCCTTTTCTTGGTGTGCAACCCAAGGCAAATCCTATTCTCTCTCTGAGCTTCAGGTCAAAATGAGAACTCTGGATGCTATAACCACTTGGGCTTCTTTTGGCTTTTAATATTCTAGGATTTTATCAAGTCATTTATGTGCTCTCTAAGTAATGGGCCGGAGGATGGGAGGTTGGGTGTATCTCCCTTCAAAGAGAGGAATAAAGTCCCTGAAAACACCTGAAAGGGGAACCAGCAAGAGGAGCTGACCCATATGAGACCCATGGAAACATCTGGCCATTGGCTAAGACTAGGAATTTTCTAACGTGGACAGGATTCCCAATAGGATGATCTAAATGCAAAATTGAAATGGGATTCTGGTATTCAATGAAGGTTTGATACTGGGAAATGAATTTGGCAAAAACAAAACTTTCACTGGACTTGCAGAGCATCTCTGAAGGACAGAGATGTCACCACTCCGAAGATTTCACAGAGGCTGGGTCAGTGAAGCTGGTAAACATTTCATGGCAGAAAACCTATGGAGTTGGAACAACTGAATCGGAAAGCCTTTTTGATAGGGTGTTCTAAACACTGAGCATGGTGGATTTCTGGGTTTTGTTGGTTTTTTCCACAACACTGTCAAAGAAGAGCTTTTGCACACACCCATCCCAAGCAGAAACACTATACTCACCCTGGCACTTGTTATGGAAAAGACCTCTCCTTTCCTATGATGGGACATCTAAGCCTTCAGTGATATTAAAAGAAATTCTAAAAGAAGAAGGTGTGAGCTAAGCTTCTCAAAAGCACAGTCCTGAATATCACATCCAGATGTCAAGGTTATTTACATTCTCTGAAACACATGCAGACCCTGAATACAAGGCAAAGCAGATAAAAATGCTTGGAACTTACTCTTTGTTCATGCCGTCAAGTAGAACAGCTGAAATCTTTTTTACCCTGATTGCAAGCTCAGGTAGGCCTTCTGTCATAGCACCCACCATGTTGTTGGTGATTAGGGACAGGCAGGCAATCATTTTCAGTTGATTCAGCTTTTCTGTCAGTTCCTGAAGACGTGCTCCATCTGTCATGAGTGTCTAGCATGTTTATTTAAAATGTAAAAATAGTAAGGGAAGCTCAATACCATGAACTTGTAAAATAAGCAATGTTACATCCAAACTCCCATTTTTATCTGATTTCAGTAAAGTCATTAAATCACATGCAACACAGACAGACCAGCTGATTCACAGTTTGAACTTAAGAATTAGAATACTGGAAAACTTGAGTGAAGGAAAAAAAAATCACTCACCTCTGGTAATTCTTTTTTCTGATAATCCCACTGTAGCAATTTCAAATAACTATTATTTAGCACCAATGTAGGGCTCAGGCTTGGCTTGGAGCTGTTTTTGGCCCCGGGAGTTAAAGCAGTCTCAGAAAGAGAAAGTAATTCTTCATGTACAGATTCTTTTATCCATTCTGTAGTTTGATCAAGAGCACCTGCAAGTACAAAGGCCACATATTTGTCCTCCAGCTGATGGATTCCTTCATTTGTGCATTCTACATGACAGATGTCAGGTTAGGTGCTGGGCATGAATGACAAAACAGCCATGGCCCTCAAGGAGCTGAGCTTAGAGTCCAGATGGGCAGACAGACCTGTAAGCTCACAATTACAGCAGAATACAGTGAATACTAGAAGACACAGAGGAGTGGAGGGAGGAGAGGCTGTCCAGGACAGGCTGTAAGAGGAACTCCATAAGTGACACTTCAGGATACAAGGCAAACAGTGGAAAGAGCTGTCACGCCAGGATAGGAGAATAGCCCACACAAAGACCCGGAATAGTGAGAAAATATGGTAATTTGGATGCTACAAGCAAATCTGTACTGCTGGTCTATAAAGAACTAGGCGGGAGAGAGAGTGGCAGCAGATGGCATCAGATGGATAGACAGGCCAGCTCACACATGACCTTGAGTCTTGTGCAGAGAAGGTATTTAGATTAAAGGCATTGATGATTAATTAAACATTTTTGGGTTCCAGACCCCTCCTCGGAGGGTCTGAATAGAGCTATGCCTTTCCCAGCAGGCTGGTGTGCACACTTTATTTTACTTCAGACCCAGTTCTAAGGTTTCCCCCTAGAAATAAATTGCTTTTTATACCACATTTCTTATAAAATTATGTATTTGGTAGAATTTATAAGGTGGAGATTGCTTAAAAATGCAGAGTGAACACAGGTGCAGATTTTTTAAAAAGACCCAGAGAACAAAATAAATAGTCACCCTGGAAACAGGGGTAATTTATGAGCAGCTCAGTTTGCCACACTTAAGCAACACCACCTCCAGAATTTCACAACTTTGTTTCTCCTCAGTTGGCAAATGTTGTTCTTGGTTTTCCCAGTTCTGTTTATAAAGATATAAAAGACTTGCAGTCTTTTATTTAAAAGGTACCCAACAGACAGAAACAGTGGAAACCATCATGGATATAATTACAATATGGCAGTAATAAGCATTTATGCTGCAAGCTTAATCATTTACAGCTGACAGATTTAAAAGCCCATTTCTTTATCTCAAACAAAAGCAACAGTGTAGCAGAGGTTCTCAATCCTGGCTGATTGTAGAATCACCTGGGGAACTTTAAAAAGAAAGAAATGTGATCTTGGGCACTGGCTCTTGGAGATTTTGATTTAATCAGTCTGAGATGGGGCTCAGGCATCTGTGTTTAAACACCCTAGGTGATTCTAATATGTAGCCAGAATTGAGTACAACTGGTAAAGCAGAAAGAGCATGAGTTTAGAGGGAAACATGGGCTTTTCTCTAAGGGATCCGCTGAGATTTCACTCCCACAAGCTAGTACACTGACTGTTTTATGTGGCTCCAAAATCGAGGTCAACCCTATGAGGCACTGGTACCCCGTGGTTCTTCATATGGAAAAGAGCCTCTCCATTCATTTCTTCAATGACAACTGAGCACCTACTATACACCAGATACTATACCAAGTGCAGAGAATTCACAGATGAGTAAACACAGTCCCTATACTCAAAAACCTCCTTATCTACCAGGAGAGAGAAACAGAACAATAGGCAATGGTTTTACAGGTGCATTTACCTAAGAATTTCTCAGGGGCAGTGGAGGCCCAAGAGCACTTCCCCACCAATATATGTTCCTGTTTCCTGCCAGGAAGTCTTGGACTAACCCCGCCGAAACTATCTCTGGTTCTCTCAGTCCATATCCTGCCAGTCCTCAGTGGTCCAGCCTCTTCCTGTGGGAAGGCTTTCTTTTTTTTTTTTTTTTTGTGGTACGCGGGCCTATCACTGTTGTGGCCTCTCCCGTTGCGGAGCACAGGCTCCGGACGCGCAGGCTCAGGGGCCACGGCTCACGGGCCCAGCCGCTCCGCGGTATGTGGGATCCTCCCAGACCGGGGCAAGAACCCGTGTCCCCTGCATCGGCAGGCGGACTCTCAACCACTGCCACCAGGGAAGCCCGGGAAGCCTTTCTTGATTGTATGGACCCATCCTTATCACTGCCTTCTTTTTGTTTTTTATATTAATTTATTTATTATTTTTGGCTGCGTTGGGTCTTCGTTGCTGCGCGCGGGCTTTCCCTAGTTGGGGCGAGCGGGGGCTACTCTTCGTTGCGGTGCCCTGGCTTCTCACTGCAGTGGCTTCTCTTGTTGCGGAGCACGGGCTCCAGGTACACGGGCTTCAGTAGTTGTGGCGCATGGGCTTAGATGCTTCGCGGCATGTGGGATCTTCCTGGACCAGGGCTTGAACCCATGTCCCCTGCACTGGCAGGTGGATTCTTAACCACTGCGCCACCAGGGAAGCCCTATCACTGCCTTCTTGAGGCACATCTGCCTTTGAATTTTTGATCTGGCTGTCATTTCTCTTAAACAGCTGACCTGAAAAACAGCTTCTCTATTTACTAAAAAAAAGTTATTAAATAGTTCATGTGCCTTTAATATTACTAGTGATATGAAAATGAGACTCCTTGAGAGTCCAAGCCTATGACGTTTATTTTTTATATAGTTTTCCCTTGACTTAGCTCACAGCACAACCTGATAGGTGTGTGAGATATCTGGCCTTGTCTTGGCAGACCCCTTTGCGTTGGAAACTAATCAAACGTTTTTCCAGTGGTACTTGTCACTTAGTAGGTTCTCAAAAAACCTCTGCTCTCTATACCTGGCATGAGAGACCCGGTAGGTTTCCTATTTAATTCACCATCTCTGGAGGTAACCATGGGCTTAAGTACTGACTCAAATAGTCTCCTTTAGACTGACAAATTGATTTGGTCCTATATGCCTGAAGATATCTTTCCCTTCCAACTGTCATGCAGTAAAATGTTTACTAATATACACTGTGCATGCAAATCAAACTAGAAGACACAGGGTGTTTTAACTCCTTCAGAAAGCAGAGGAGGGAACACTTCCTAATTTATCTTATGAGGGCAGCTTTGCTCTGACACCAAAACCAAGCAATGGCATTATAAGAAAAGAAAATTACAGGGGGACATCTTTCATAAATATAGATGTAAAAATCCTTAAGGAAGCATTAGAAAGGCAATAAGATAAAGATAATATACCGGGGCCGAGTGACTGGATAAACATCTCAGGACTGCAAGCTTGGTTTAACACTAGAAAAAAAATCAGTCACTCTAATTCGCCACATTAACACAATCAAGGAGAAGAAAAATATGACCAATTGAGTAAACGCAGAAAAAGCATGGAAACAAATTTAATATGTGACCTATTTAGATAAAAATTCTCAACAGGGCTTCCCTGGTGGCACAGTGGTTGAGAGTCCACCTGCCGATGCAGGGGACACGGGTTCGTGCCCCGGTCCGGGAAGATCCCACATGCCGCGGAGCGGCTAGGCCCATGAGCCATGGCCGCTGAGCCTGCGCGTCCGGAGCCTGTGCTCCGCAACGGGAGAGGCCACAACAGTGAGAGGTTCGCGTACCACACACACACAAAAAAAAACTCAACAAACTAGAAATAGAAGGAAACTTCCTTAACCCCCAAAAATGACATCTATGAGAAGCTGCGGCTAACATCATATTTAATGCTCAAACAATAAACATTCTTCTGCTAGAAAAGCAAGGATGCCCTTTCTCATGACTTCTATTCAACATCTGATGGGAGGTCCCAGTCAGTGCAATAAGATAATCCAAAGAAATAAAAGGCAACATGATTCTATATACTATAGAAAAACCTAAGGAATACTCCAAAAAGCTATTAGAATTAATAAGTTGATTTAGCAAGGTCTCAGGATGCAAAGTCGATCCTCAAAAATCAATTATATTTCTATATGCTAGAAAACAAAAAGTTTTATAAAATAGCATTTATAACACCAGAAGAACATAAAATGAGATTAAATTTAACAAAATAGGAGCTTCCCTGGCAGCGCAGTGGTTAAGAATCTGCCTGCCAATGCAGGGGACACAGGTTCGATCCCCGGTCTGAGAAGATCCCACATGCCGTGGAGCAACTAAGCCCACGTGCCACAACTACTGAGCCTGTGCTCTAGAGCCCGCGAGCCACAACTACTGAGCCCACATGCCACAACTACTGAAGTCCGTGCACCTAGAGCCCGTGCTCTGCACGCAACGAGAAGCCACTGCAATCAGAAGCCTGCGCACCACAACGAAGAGTAGCCCCCACTCACTGCAACTACAGAAACCCCGCGCGTAGCAACGAAGATCCAATGCAGCCAAAAATAAATTAATTAAATAAATTTTAAAAAATTACAAGACCAGTACACCAAAACTAAAACAATATTGCTGAAATAAATTAAAGATTTAAGTAGAGATATTGAGTTCACATATCAGTAGATTCAACATTATTAAGATGTCAGTTCAACATAATTCCAATCACCATCCCAGCTGGCTTTTTTGCAGAACGAGATAAACTAATTAAAAAATGCATATGGAAATTCAAAGGACCTAAAATAGGCAAAACAATTCTGAAAAAGAATTAAGTTGGAAGCTAACACTATCTGACTTCAAGACTTAGCCTCAGTAACCAGGATAGTGTTGTATCAGCTAAGAGTAGAAATGGAGATCAATGGAAAAGACTAGAGAGTCTAATAAAAAGGAATGAAGTACTGATATGTGATACAACATGGGTAAATCTTTAAAACACAATACTAAGTGGAAGAAACCAGACACAAAAAGCTACATATTATATGATTCCATTTATATGAAATGTCCTGAACCGTCAAATCCATAGAGACAGAAAGTAGAACTGTGGTTGTCAAGGGCTAAGGGAAGGGAGGAATGAGGAGATACTGCTAATGAGTTTGGGGTTTATTCTGGAAGCATGAAAATCTTACGGAATTAAATACTGGTGATGGTTGCATAACCTTGTGAAAATACTAAAAAACACTGAATTATACACATTTAAAATTTAATTTTATGGTATGTAAATTATATCTCAATTTAAAAAAAGAATAAAGAGTTCAGAAATAGAATCACAAATGTATGGTCAATTGATTTTCAACAAAAATGCCAAAGCAATTCAAAGGAGAAAAGACAGTTTTTTCAACAAATAGTTCTAGAATTAGATATATGAATGGAAAATTTTGAACCTTGAAATATACTGCCTTGAAATGATTCATAAGCCTAAAAGTCTAAAACTTCTAGAACATACAAAAAAAATTTTCATGACCTTAGGATATACAAAGATTTTGTAAACAATTCACTAAATGCACAAACCATAGAAGAAAATTTTATTATTTGCACTTCATCAAAATAAAAAAACTTCTTCTTTTCAAAGGATAGGGTTAAGAGAATGAAAAATGCAAGCCACAGATGGGAAGAAAGTTTCACAACACAAAAATATGACAAGGGACTTGCTTCCACAATATATAAAGAGCTCTTCAAATCAATAATAAGACAACCCAATTTAAAAATGGGCAAAAGATTTGAACAGACACTTCACGTAAGAAGATAAATAAATGGCCATTTAGCATATAAAAGATGCTAAACATCATTAGTCATCAGGGAAATGTATATTAAAACCACATGAGATACTTTCACATTCTCTATAAATATATATAGGGTAAAATTTAAAAGACTGATAATACCTAGTGTTGGTGAAAATGTAAAGCAGTTGGAACTCTCATACACTGATGGTGAGTATAAAATGGCACAACTACATTGGAAAATAATTGGCTGTTTTTTCTAAAATTAACCATATATTTACCATATGACTCAGCCATTCCACTCCTAGGTGTTTATCCAAGAAAATGAAAACACATGCCCACACAAAGACTGGTACACAAATGTTCACAGAAGCTTTATTCATAGTAGCCTAAAACCAGAAACAACACAGATGTCCATCAACAGGTAAATGGATAAATGAGGTATGTAATCATATAGGATTACAATATAATAGGATAACTTTCAATAATATAAACTATGGATACTCACAACAACATGGATGAATAGCAAAAACCTTATGTTGAGTGACAGAAGCTAGACAGAAAAGTGAACACACAGTATGATTCCATTTAATATGACGTTCTAAAAGAAGCAAAACTAATCTACATTGATAAAAATTACATCAGTTTTACCTCGATGGGGGGAGGTTGGTTGCAAGGGGCCTGAGGATTCTTTTTGGAGTGACAGAAATGCTTTATTTCTTGTTTCTAGTGGTGGTTACATGGGCATATTCTTTAGTCAAAACTCACAGAACTATACACTTAGAGTTGGCGTGTTTTTATTCTATGTATTGAATGCTTCAATAAAGTTTTTTTAAAAAGATATGGGTTATGGGTTGGCCAACTAAGTCACTGAGTCTAAGGCAAAAACCTAGCAAACAACCTATGTGATAAAGTCACATAAAGCTTTATCAACACAAAACACACATGTAAATATTTACATTACGTAAAAGCCATTGATTGTGCTATTTAGTGCTTCAGAGGATTCAGTCCAGGGAATGCTCCGTGAACTCTGCCAGTTTGGTATGAATGAGTTTAGTATTTGAGCTTTCTGAGATGAATGCATCAAGGGTATCCCTGTACTGATTCATCAAGGAATACAATTCCCATCTCTACCGACTTCTAATATGGTACCTAAGCATGAAATCTGAGTGACCCTTAAAAAGGCAATGACTCTACATCCTGGGCTTGGGGGATGGCCAGGCTAGCTCTTGGTCTGTACAATCCTGAACAGGCACCATTCAATAAACTAGGAGAATGGTGCAGAATACATGGATGGGAGTCCCTGATGTTGTCCAAAGCTTTAGATGGCCTCTATTTTCAATATTCTGGAAAATATTCAGAGCAAATACCCCAATTTTCAGTTAGAAGAATGTAGTTCTCTTATCCATGACATCCACTCTTTTATGCCTAGCAACACCTCACCTTCCCTTTTTTTGGTACTGATTTTGAGAAATCATTTTCCCTCACTCCATGCTTTCTTTTTGTGAACATCAATTAGAGGTCCCATGACTAGGCAACCTTCCTGACCAGGGGTTGGCCTCGCTGAGTCATATGCCCATCAGACTCCTTCCTAGGACTCTGAATGATGACCACAGCGTTCAAGGATGGCCCATGTTGAAGTGCACATTAACCATCTGAGGACGGAGCTCGGAACTTTCCCTTGTTTCTTCCTCCCCAGATTCCTGATGCCCTCCCGGTTTCTGGCCTCGCGCAGACTCAGGTATTTTCGCTTTTCTGTAAACTGCCTGACTCCTTCCATTCACTTCCTTTTCTGCTAAATCAGCCAGTTAGTTTCTGTTGCCTGCGATATACCCCAGCTGATATAACACCAAATTTAAAAATCCAAAGAAAGGAGCCAAAGCAGCAGCTTGGTTTACTCCTGACTTGGCCGTGAGAGACCTGGCTTCCAGTCCCAGCTCCGCCACTTCTCAGCTGTGTGGCTCTGTCTTTGGGCAGGTCGTTGCTAAGCATCAGCTTGCTCATCTCTAAAATGTTTCATAAATATTTCCTGAATGCCTTGGGTGCCAGGCTAAGACAATCATAATGCAGTTTTATATATTTCTGGAAAACATTTATGTCCCATAAGGATTTCTGAACCACAGGAAATGAAGTTCCTGAGAACATTTTATCAGATGTAAGAGATTATCTAAATAAATAAAATCTTTTCTTTCTGAGTATCTGAAAAACTACTTGTGGCCCAGCCCCCCAGGGGTAACGTGCCATTCTTTCTACAGATAATTTAGTTGTTGGATCTAATGTGGTTACTTTGTTGACATTTAATACATTCACCCAGTCACTGCCTAAGGCTTTCTTGGGTATATTTTAATAGGGCAATTATATAAAATCTCTCTGTCGGCAAAATACAATTTTGGGGGGAGTCAATTAAGAAACCCAGAGTACTTCTCTGTATTAATTTTCTGAATAATTATTTTATAAAAATCATGTACACACAAAAATCCAACACTTTTGTCCTTCTGTGCAATACTGTAAGACTCTTATTTTGATACTAGGGCACAGTGGCCGACTTTTGGCAGAGTGACTTGAGGATATAATTAATAGTTGACATACACTCTGCTTCCTGGACTCTTGATTTCTCTGGGAACATATTTAGATCTGGGCAACAATGACCTACTTGCACAGCTGGATTTATTCTATTCTTAAATCTCTGGAAATATCCAAGTCAATGTGAAAGGTGCAAATGAAATATAAGTCACTAAGCCTGGGTTTTAAGGAGAGAAACAAATCATTTGAAATGAATGAAAGTGTAGTTCAACCCTACAGTAAGGAATTTGTTCAAGATTACAGGCTACCTTGACTCAAGACATGAAGACATTTGCACACATGTGTACATACACATATACAGGGACACAAATGGAACCAACCAATGAATCTCAGGAAAATGCTGCTAAGAATGTGGTTATCATAGTTCAGGTTTCAGATCCAGGTTCTATGTAGGGTTCTATGTCCCATAATCCCTCTCTGCCTTTGAAGCCAAAACAATATAGCTCTGAAGTCATAGAATTTTTGTTGTAGAAGGATCCTTAGAAGTCATCTAGTCATATCTGTCACTTGACGCTAGAGCTCCCTCTGCAAATCCCCCCAAGATAGTCGATATACTGTCTGGAGAGAGTCAGTTTTGCATAGTGGTTGAATGCACACGCTTTGGGGCAGAGACATAGCTGGGTTATCCAGGCTTTACCACTTACTAGCAGTCACCTAGGGTAAATACCTTAACCTCAGTTTCTTCTTTTATAAACAGTAGGTGATAACAGTACCAGCCTCATAGGGTGACGTGTGAAGCTTGAATGAGCTAATAAACGTATGGTGTTTGGCACATAGTAAGGACTTGGCACACAGTAAGTGCTCAAACAAAATGTTAGCTAGCATGGGCTACTATCAGTAATAGAGAGGCCCATTCCAAAGTTAAAACAGCAGTTCCAGCTGCTAGGAAGGCCAAAATTGGCTGTCTGCTGCTTCCCTCCCATGGGTCCTAGTCTGCCCTACAGAGCTTAACCAAAGCCCTGAATCACTATCGACAGGGAAGGCAGTGCTCATGGCCCACCCGAGTCTCCCTGTTATCAAGCAGAATGGGCCCAGCTTCACTGATTGTTCCTCCTGTCACCCTCCATGGCCCATGCCCTCTTCCCTGGACAGGCTCCAGCCTGCTGGAGCCCCTTTTAAAGTGGCATCTGTTTGGCTTTGTTTACATGAGGCTATCATATTGACCATCTTGACAGAAAAGCTCAGTCCACAAGGGGTAGGGTGGGGTGGGTGCATCACCTAACCCAGCCTTAGACTGTGGTTAACCGAAGCCCAGAGGCTGCTGTCAAGGGTTTGCCAATGAGGGAACCAGCTAACCAGCCTCTTGCCAGCTGTCCAACATCTGGCACCTCAGCTTCCTCACCTGTGAAACAAAGAGAATAACAGTACCTCTCTCACTGAGTAATTGTGGGGATTCAATGAGGTAACACTTCCTTTACTCCCATTCTTTCTTGACATCTCTTCCAGTCCAGTTTTAATGCCCACTAGTCCACTGAAACTGCTCCCATCACAGTTACCAAGGATCCTCACATGGTCATATCCAATGGTCAAGGCTTGGCCTTCATCTTTCTTGACCATTTAGCAGCACTTGTCGCAGCTGATCGTGTTTTCCTTCTTCAAACTCTTTCTTCGCTTGTCTTACAGGACACCACCCTCTCCTGGCTGTCTTCACCTCGCTGGCTACCCTTTCACAGTCTCTGTTGCTGGATCCTTTTCCTCTTCTCAAGCTCTAGATGCTCTAGAGGTCCCAGGTCAGGCCCATTCAGTATCTACACTCACTCCCTAGGTAACCTCATCCAGTGTAATACTGTGGATAAGAGCATGGAGTGGATAAGAGTGTGGAGTCAAACTGCTTGGGGTGAGTCCCAGCTCTGTAATTCACAGGTTGTGTTGTGGAGGGAAGTGATTTAACCTCTCTATGCCTCAGTTTCCACATCCATAAAATGGGGAGTAATTTCCTCAAGTTTTGGTAAAGATTAAATCAGTTAAAACAGATAAGGTGTTTAGAATGTGGTAAGCATTCTATACATGTTAGCTACTATCCAGTTCCATGGCTTTATCCACTATAAAGATATTGATGATGCCCAGATGTATATCCCCAGTGCCCATCATTCCTCTGAACTCTAGTCTCATATCTAAATGCCTCCTGGCATCTTCATGTCGATGGCAAACAAGATCTCAAAGTTCCCACATCTAAAACTGAATGCTGACTCCATACCATCTCCCACCTTTCCCTGGCCTCTCCCATCTCTCTAACAGGCATCACTCTTCACCCAGTTGCTTAGAGTCACCCTCAACTCTCTTTTTTCTCTCATCCAACTTTCAGCAAAACTTGTTACTCCATTTTCAAAATACAACCAGAACCTGACCTCTTCTCATTACTTCCACCACTATAACCTGGACCAGTCCACCATCCGCGATACCACCTAACTGGTACCCGTTTCCCTTCTTGCTCCTGTACAATCTGTTCTCTATCCAGGAGCCAGCGTATACCTAAAAAATCAAAATCCGATGTTGCTCCCCTGCTCAAACGCTCCAGTGACTTCCCATCACACTTGGAATGAAACCTAAATTACTCTCATTTCCTAACAAGGCTCTTTGTGACCTGCCTTTGCCTACCTCTTGGCCTCATCTGCTACCACTCTCTCCTGCCTACTCCACTCCAGCCACACAGTCTGCCTTGTGTTTGTCCAATTTCACAAGCAAGTTCCTGCTGCAGGGCCTTTGTATGCGCAGCTCTCTCTACCTGGAATGTTATTCTCTCACATCTTCCTATGACCCTTCCTCATTCCTTTAATTCCTCATTCCTTCCTCATTCAAATAGTTACTTATTAGAGAGGCCTTCCCAGTCCACCGCATCTAAAGAAACACCCCCTACCCTCACTCCTGTCCCGTTACTATCTGTCCCTTTATCCTATTTTTCTTCATAGCACTTAATAACACATCCGACAATACATGTTTTTTGTTTGTCACGCCTACTAGAAGGTCAGCTCCTTGGGGGCAGCAGCTTTATTCTGTTTTGTTCTATCCATAGCACCCAAGGTGTGTCTGGGACACAGGAGGTGCTTAATAAATGTTTGTTTGTTTTTTAAATGTATGAAGGGCTTCCCCGGTGCAGCGGTGGTTAAGAATCTGCCTGCCAGTGCAGGGGACATGGGTTCGAGCCCTGGTCCGGGAAGATCCCACATGCCGCGGAGCAACTAAGCCCGTGCACCACAACTACTGAGCCTGCATGCCACAACTACTGAAGGCCGTGCACCTAGTGCCCATGCTCCGCAACAAGAGAAGCCACCGCAGTGAGAAGCCCGTGCACCACAACGAAGACCCAATGCAGCCAAAAATAAATAAATTAAAAAAAAAAAAAAGTGACTAGTGCTTAGCACAGTTCCTGGGTCAGAGTCAATAGCTATAAGTTTATGATGTCAATTTTAGAAGTTAAAAAAAATGTTGAACAGAAATGCCAAAAGTCTTTAGTGATACTATTTAAGATGTCAAAAATGAAAATATCATATTTTCACCCAATTTCAATATATATACACACTTATATTGTACTTACTCGGAGTTTCTTCTAAAATTTCTTGGAACTTGGTTCTCTCATAATCTACCAACTGGCGTTGGAGATGTGGTCTCAGACTCCTAATCGTAAAATTGACCATGTCCATTTTCATGAGATCCAGGACATGAAATATTTGTCTAAAAATTTTAGAGTTAAAATAGTTAGAGAGGTGATTAAGAAATCAATCTGAAATTCATTAACTATTACTAATTTTACAGGCTGGAAAATATAAACATCCACGAAACGGTTTTAAAGTTCCAATCACTTTGACAAGGTCACTTTTCACAAAAGGCATTATACATGCATTCCAAATGTATTCTTCTAGAGATCTCAAGAGTATTTGCTTTAGCAAATACACCTCCAGCTGATCCATTACATTCATCCATAAACTGATAGACACTAAGAAGCATAAACAATGAGTCTTAACAATGAGACAAAAAAGATTCAAGAAGGAATTTTCATTTGAAATTTTATGGAGTCTGAACATAGTGTACATTGTTTCTGTTCCTAAGGAAAGAAGAAAAAGAAAAGGAAAGAAAGGACAGGGCAGTAAAGCACAGGGGGAAAAACACTGCATTTTAGAGTTAGGCAGCCCTGTATTCAATTGCAGCTTTACAACTGACCAGCTCTGTGGCCAGGAACAAGTTACTCAATCTCTCTGAGCCTTAGTTTCTTCATCTGTGAAAGAAAGGGACAAGATCAACCTTGGAGGGATGTTGTGAGAGTCAATGAGACAGTGAACACAAAATGCAGGGGAGAGTGACAACCAGTAGGTGCTCAATACACGAGGAAGACGAACACCACAGAAAATCCTTCAAAGCAAGGATTCTACAACTGGAGAATCTCAATCTGCCAGAGCTGAGTGCAACTCTAAGGATACTTACAGCCTATTTTACAGATGGGGAAAGTGTGACTTTGAGAGGTTGTCAACTTTCCCAGAGTCATAAAGTAAGTAACCCATTATATGCAAACCAGCTTCCTTTCCCCTTCCCTTTCCTATACTATTACGTGAAACTTAGTTCTCAATGTGGCTGTATTCTCAAAAAAGGGAGAATTCCCCTCAATGGCAAAAAGTACTGCAGACTCCTCTCTCCTCTGGGATCACAAAGAAATTACTGTCTACACAGCCAGATTAGAGTCTTACGATCTTACTATACACATCACTTCCTGAGGGAAGCTGTAGCAGAGACAGCTGGACGACCACCAAAGGTCCATGTTGCCTTCCTGCAGTGTGGATTTGTGGCTGGGAAATGTGTTCCCAGACAGCAGCCACGTTTCCCAGGCCACCTTCAATGTAGGTGGTACCACGGGACTAGGTATAGTCAATGTAATGCATTGCTTCTGGGCCTAGGTGGTTAAACACTGGATATGCCTTCCTCATGATCTCTTTCCCATTCACCAGCTAAATGTAAAGGACTCCAACGAGCTGGGTGAGGGTGGAGCCAAAGAGAGAAGGAGCCTGGGTCCCTGAATGACACATGGAAGGCTGCCTGACCAAGAATCCCTGACTCGGACTCTGACATGAGTGAGAAACAAACGTTTACTGGTTAAATCACTGAGAACTCAGGGTTTACATGTCATAGCAGCTAGCAATACCCTAACTAATGAAGAAGCCTTCCTGGATCCTTAACTAGGTTAGGTCCCCCTGCTGGAGGCTCCATTAATCCCCTCCAGTTCCCTTTTCATAGCACTTATCACAACTGTAATTCCTTGTTCAAGAGCTGTCTCCCCATTAGACTGTAATCAGAGATTGCATCTGCCTTTTCCATCACTGCACCTCTAGGGCCCAGCACTGCCAGCTAACAACCTTGTTGGGTCACTCAGTGTGAAAGCTCCATGCACACAATAAATGATTGACTTGCCCCTTGCTTAGGTGGTTTCTTCCTAGGGTTCCTTTGGGAGAGGAGGAACCCTTATTCTGTGTTCCTCAATTCCCACACTTCCCTTCTGAATGAACTCAAAGGTACTCTAAGAAAATGCAAGCAGCAGAACCGCTAACCTCAGCACATCCACGATGTTGCAGGTAGCCTTTAACTCTCTGATATCATCATCTCGCACAGGAGCGCACAGCTTTCCCATCGTACTGATGACGTAGTTGGCCAGGGCTTGGATGTCGACAGCACTGTGCTCAGCCTGCTGCCTAATGAGGTCTGTATCCAAAACTTCACAGATCTGGTTGCGAAGCCGGTTGCCACCAGGAGTCAGAAAAGAGAGGAGAACCTATACAGGGAGAGGAAAGAAAAATTAACAGCATCCTTACATGAATAAAGGTTGTCATTTCTAATTTCAGTGTCTAGAGGACCAAGCTCCCTGTCCATATTTTAATGCCCCGGATGCCACAGAAGTTTGCATCAAGTGGTGGATCAGAGGAGCACTCCAGGGTCCTGACTCTAAAAAGAAAGCTCTGTCTTCTGAATGAAAGCCTCCCCTCCCCTCCCATGGGAAGTTACTAACACTATCGGAATGAAAACAACTGGTAAGGAAGCAATACTGTTGAAAGAACTTCAAAAAGTTTACAGAGAAACCGTGCAAAGACAAGTTGCAGATCATGGCTCCAAAAGAACCCTTTAAAGAAGGGCGAATAGAAACATCCCCATGGGCTCTATTAGTATAATATATTTACATGTGAAATAATACATATTATATGAGCAACCTATATTGTGTATTCACTACACAGCAGACACTGTACTTATAGACACAGCACGCGGTTAGGAGAACAAGCTCTGAGCCGGAGTGCCTCAGTTCAAATCCCTTCCACCCCTCAAAGCTGCGTGACCTTGGGTGAGTCAGGGAACTTGGTTTCTTTATATAAGATAATAACAGGCATAACTGCCTCCCAGCATTATAGTAAGGATAGATGAATAATCTAGTGCTTGGCACAGAGCAAGTGTCTTGTAAAAGTTAGCTATGACTGTCATCTGATTTAATTCTCACAACTACTCCAGAGACAGACTTAAGAAGAGAGAGCCTGTCACTAAAGCAGGTCTATCTAACTCAGGCTCTGTGCTCTGAAGCACCACAGCCACTGCCCTACATGCTAAGCATTGGCTTGAGTTCCTGCCGCTGCCCTGTTTTCCCAGCCTGCGCCCCATTCCAGGAGGTGCAGGAAAAAACCCTTTCGGTGACTGAACTGGCTCAGTGTTTCAAAAGAGTCTCCAATACTCTCTGCAGGACATGAAAACACCTTTGGGGGGAAAATTACTAATTAATACAGACAACATCAACTTGCCTCTCTGATTTCTTCAAACAGTTTGATGGCGTGTTCATACTCAGGGGGCTCAGCATTCAGTTCTGATTCCAAGACGTCCCAGAAGGCCTGGTGGACAATGTGCCTCACTCTACCGGCCAAGCTACAGGAATGAAATGGATCGATTTTAAAATAAGCACTATTTTTCCTGATTATAAAAGAAAGATGCTTATTGTAGAAATCTTAGAAAATGCAGAAAAACAGAGAATAAAAATTGTTCATAATCCTATTATTAATCTTTTGACATATTTGACATATGTTCAATGAATGCATTGTTTTAATATAATTGTTTTAATACTGAGTCTGTACAATATTATTTAATTTAATACTCTGTCTTAAGTGTCTCCCCTAGATTTTTTAAATGCTTCCTCCTTATAGCTTTTGATATGTTCATAAAATTTCGTCCTAAGGAGATACCATAATTTACCTAGCTACTCTTCTACACAGACTTTTAGACTTGGTCTAGATTTTGGGGATGAGATGGCAAAATTGCTCTTTCCTTAACAGCTGAAGTTTCATGGCATGGAACAGAACAGATTGGCCCATGGAGACATGCATTTGATTGCCTGCCAGCTTCAGCTTAGATGTCCCATTTAAAGTTGGCCAGACCAAAACTGCTGAAATAGGAGCCTTCCTAGGAAAAGCTAACAATAGAGTAGGTGGCCACCTTGCTTTACCCTGTACGTCAATGCCCTAAAATAGGCGTATGTTAAAACACACAGGGACCTCTCTGGTGATCCAATGGTAAAGAATCCGCCTTCCAGTGCAGGCGACACAGGTTCAATCCCTGGTCGGGGAACTAAGATGCCACAGGCCGCGGGGAAGCTCAGCCCACACACCACAGCTACTGAGCTTGCGTGCCTCAACTAGAGCCCGTGAGCCACAAACTACAGAGCCCACCTGCCACAACTAAAGAGAAGCCCGTGCACCGCAACAAAAGATCCTGCATGCCTCAACGAAGATCCTGCGTGCCACAACTAAGACCTGATGCAGCCATAAAAATAAATAAATAAATTTTAAAATAGATAAATAAATAAAACACACATTCCTACTGAACTCCTACACCATTTTGCAACAGCTTTTAGAAAAGCGCATATTTGCCTGAACTGTAATTACCTGCAAGTCTCTATCCCACACAGGGCTATACACCTCTCTCAGGTAGAGGTCACTTCTTCTAGGTACCTGCCACTGTACCTAGCATAACACTTGTCATTTACTGAGGGTTCACTGAATGCATGGTGAATGAATTAATAATTTGATAGTTAAGCATATCTCCTAATTTTTCTTTTAAAGTACAAATAGCTAAATATACAATAATGCTATGAGAAGTGAAAATTAGCTTTCTGAGGAGTATGAGTTAAAACTGTTTCCACAACTGCAAATACTATATTCTACTCAGCCACTTTAAATGTGAAAACTTATTCTAGTTGCCTGAATAGATTTATTCAACATAAATGCCATTTCCAATGTTTGAGACTCTCTTGAGCAATTACAGAACAATTAGAAAGACAAACATTGCTGGGACAGACTTTTGCTCTGAACTTTACAAGCCTCATGTACTTGGCCTGAATGCACCAACTAGGAGTGAGCTAGAACAACTTCATAGCTCCTTGAGGGATGTCGGAGTTTAAGTTTTCCCAAAGGCTACAAGCTTTTTAATTTTGGGGAGTGGAAGAGGTAGGGAGGAAGGGGTGGAGATGAAATCAGTCAAATCATTTATAAGCATTCCTACCTGGTCTCAGAAATCTGACTTATTTTACCAAGTGTTTCCCCCGACTTGGTAAAATATGAGAGTCGGCCATATTTTAAAGAGTAACAAGAGACAGTGCTTTGAGAGCTATCACCCTGTCTCCTTATTTGTCACAAATAATAAACGCTTATGCTTTGATAAAAAAAAGAAAAAAAAGTAAAGACTTGGTCATTGTGGAGGGTCATCTGATAAATCAGCAGCTAATGATACGCTATTTCACTTTTAAACAAAGGTAATGTGTCCCAACTCTACGTGTTGTTTCCCTTGCTCACATTTTCTAGCCGTGGCAGAAAATGAAGAGAAGGGGAATTCGTATCTTCCACAGTATCAAAGTACTTACATGCAAGGCACTTATATGCCCAGGAGCATGCATTTAGAGTGAGTGTTGTGGAGAATGCTGAGGCTCAGATATGGTCACAGCAGAGCCAGGATTCAAACCCTGGGGTCTGTCTGATCCTAAAGGGCCTTCATTCAGCCTGTATTTGCAACTTTTGAATTTAAAGCACAAACACTCCCAATTTGTCTTTTCTGTACTTCATAAAACATACTTATTTTAACTTCAAAAATTCATTTTTATTAGTCAATAAATGTTTATTCAAAATTCAATATGTGGTAGGCCCTGTTTCAGGTGCTTGGGTGTAGTGAAAAGAAAGCCTCTGCTCTCAAAAAGCTTACATGTTAGCAGAGACAGAAGAAAAACACACTGAAAGGGAGTAAGACAATTTCAGAGCCACAAGGAAGGCAGAGGAAGACAATGTGGTCCACAGTGATGAAGAGGTGCAGATTTGGCGTGGTGGTTGAAGAAAGCTTCTCTAAGACAGTAAGCGACCTTAGAGCTGAGACCCAAATGGGGAAAAGAAAGCAGCTGGTGAAGATCTATGGGAAAAACATTAAAAAAGAAGGAAGGGGCTTCCCTGGTGACGCAGTGGTTGAGAGTCCGCCTGCCGATGCAGGGGACGCGGGTTCGTGTCCCAGTCCGGGAAGATCCCACATGCCGCGGAGCGGCTGGGCCCGTGAGCCATGGCCGCTGAGCCTGTGCGTCCGGAGCCTGTGCTCCACAACGGGAGAGGCCACAACTGTGAGAGGCCCGTGTACCACAAAAAAAAAAAAAAGAAAAAGAAGGAAGAAGGTCCAAGTCCCTGGGACGGGATCAAGCTGGTGTACTCCAGGATCAGCAAGGAAGCTTCGGTGTGGCTGAAGCACAGCAAGCAGGAGGAAAAGGAGGAAGAGACATGGTCAGTGAAGGGGGGCCTTGCTCATCATACTAAAGAGTTTGCATTTTTATTCTAAGTGTAATAGAACCATCGAAGGGTTCTATAAGCAAAGACATGATCTAATCTGATTTACCCATTAGAAAGATCACTGTGGCTACCTGTGGATGTGGAGGATGGACGATGCAGGAGCTAAGGATGGAGACTGGGCAACTAGTTAGGACACAAAGAGTCCAGGTCAGAGACGATGGTGGCCTGGCCTGGGGGTGTAAGCAGCACAGCTGATATAAAGGATCATGGTGAAATGCAGTCACCATAGAAAACCAAACAGATAAACCTACTTTGGCCAGTAATCCTAAAAAGTATTAGTGATTATTATAAACAACACCCCCAGGAGGGAGACTATGATCCATATTTTAAAGAAGGAAAATTATTGGTTTACTATTTTCCTGCTTTAAAACAAAAAAAGTTCTGAATGGAATCAAATATTATATGTTGTCTTAATTGACAGAGAGAATGCCTCCCAATTTATGAATGGCACTGTGAGTTTTAAGATTCAGTGCCGTTATCCATGAGTCAATTTTTTTTTTTTTTTTTTTTCCCGGTACGCGGGCGTCTCACTGCTGTGGCCTCTCCCGTTGCGGAGCACAGGCTCCGGACGCGCAGGCTCAGTGGCCATGGCTCACGGGCCCAGCTGCTCCGCGGCACATGGGATCCTCCCGGACCGGGGCACGAATCTGCATCCCCCGCATCGGCAGGCGGACTCTCAACCACTGCGCCACCAGGGAAGCCCCCATGAGCCAATTTTGCCTCTAAAGACTATTTACCTGCAGTAATGGCTGCAAGACTTTTCTCCTCTTTGTCCCAGGGGACCTGTGAGCCACTAAAACCAGAAAGACTGAGGTAGGATATAAGGGCATGGCTCTAACTAGAGATCCCTTGGGCATGAGGTTAACCAGGGGTGCCTATGCAGCTGTGATTCCTCCCTCCAGAGGCTTCTGGATCACCTCTTACCACTTTGGCAGCTCAGCTGCATTTACTTATCTTTCACAACCTGAATATTAGTTTTTAATAAGTCAGGCTGCAAATATTTCTTGAGCAGGTACTACATGTCAGGCACTCTGCTAGGCAATAAGGACAGAGCAAACAATATAGACATAGTTTCTCCGTTAATGGGGCTTTTGGTCAAGTGGGAAAGACAGACTTTGAACCTAAAATTATAAAACATCTTAACAAGAGGGAGGTAGAGGGGGCTATAGGAGTCTTTAGAAGGGGATTTAATGTAGTCTAGTGAGCTCAGGAATGTCAGGAAAAGCTTCCTTCAGGAAGAGACATATAAGCTGAATTCTAAAGATTATAAGTAACATATACCCTAGAGGAGTGGTTTTAAAAACAACTATAAGACCTTGTTAGAGAACTAAATACTGTTAACTCCCAGTGGATATTATATGAGACTGTCCAGGAATCAGTGTGAAAGTCTGTGTTTGCAGTACACACACACACACACACACACACACACACACACACACACAGAGTCTGCAGCACAGGTTATGCACAACACATGCCTCCAGGTTACCTGTTCTCAGGAAGGGCATCTTGTTTCAATTGAAAGTTCTCATTTACAGCAATCTCATGAGCAAGAGTCATGTTTGATAAGTTCCTTGCTGCAGCCATCACTTCATCAAATGTTACAACCCTGGGAGGGCTTGTTGCTGAAAGGAAGACAAAAACCAGTTAATGCTCTGGAAGGAGTTGTCATCCAATGAAGCCTCCTGATGCACACAGGGTTTAAGTTATTCCAACATATATTTTCAGTAAGAAGAATATATATCAAAATAGATCGATTCCCCCACTTAATACTTAAGGCTCCAAAAATTTAAGAACTCCTTTGATAGCTTCAGTTACTGTATTGAAAATAAATTGTCGGCCACTCTCGCCTTCTGAGATAGCCCACGCTCTGTCTGTGGAGTGTGTTTCTCTCTAAATAAATCCACTTCTTACCTATCACTTTGTCTCTCACTGAATTCTTTCTGCCATGAGACATCAAGAACCTGAGCTTCATTAAATCCTGAAACCAGATACTGAAACCCCCGCCAGGTGGGAGAAGTTAACTATATGCTGCCACAACACTCAGACCCAGGACCAGTTGGAACCAGAAGGTTGATGCTGCTGACTCCCACGCACCTCACCACCAGCCAATCAGAAGAAAGCCCATGAGCTGATCACGTCCTCCTCTTTGAACCATTACTATAAAACTCCTCACTAACCCCTCCAGGTCAGGACACTCAGTTTTGAGAGCATTAGCCCTCTGTGGCCCCTTTGCTTGGCAAAGCAATAAAACTATTCTTTACAACTTCAAAAAAAAAAGAAAGAAAATAAATTGTCAAATGTTTCTGAGAAAATTTTATTAATATAGCCTATTATAAGTTATTTTAAAAAATTAAATCACCTCATTTTTTAGCGAATATTGATATCTGCATTTATTACACGTACTCCACAGGAAATTGATGACTACTTTTTATTCTGTAATTCATAACTCCCATTAATTTAAGCAGACTCAAAATGAACTGATTTTTTAAAACTATAATTTTGAAAAGTATATGCCGTATAGCACAATTCTAAGTTTTGCTAATTGGTAGTTATCATTTGACTTCGCTGAAGCATAACTTACCTCCTCGTAGGACTGTCCTGAGGTGACTAAACAAGATAATTTAAGTAAAGAACATGGTAAGAACTCAATAAATGTAGATAATTAAAATAAAATAAATCTGATAAGCTGATAATCTACTTCTCAGTAGGAAATAGTGGGTAAAGAATTATTTTAGTTATCTGTAAGATTATTCAAAAAATTACTCTAACTAAAGTCATGTCTTTTTGAAATCGTTGTTGGAACTCTTGGCGTCTGTTAATTAAAAATCATCACCTCAAACAACAATCCTGACTGGCAATACTTTGCTACCTAAAATAATTTATTTAAAAAAATTTTTTTGGCTGTGCCACGCGGCATATAAGATCTTAATTCCCAGACCAGGGATCGAAACTGCACCCCCTGCATTGGAAGCGTGGAGCCTTAACCACTGGACTGCCAGGGAAGTCCTTAAAATAATTTTAGAAATAAGAAGAGGAGGAGGTAGTGGAGAAGGTGGAGATGGAAGAGGAAGAAGAGGAGGAGGAAGGAATGCTGATATACAATTAGTAAAACCCTTCTTCAGGACACCTAGGTACCCTGCTGGAGACATCAACTCCATGTATAGTAATAAAGAGTGAGAAAAAGCACTGAAAGCTGGGGGGCTGCTAATAAATTCTTCTGCCAATTCTCTTTCCCATTAAGATTCTCCTTAAAACTGTCTGTATCCTTTGGTCCAGCAATCCAATTATATCCAAAGGAATTCCTAGAAAGGCTTTATGCACCACGATGTTCATAAAGCACTATTTGTAACAGCAAAAAAAAAAAAAAAAAAAAAAAAAAAAATAAAAAACAAAAAAAAAAAAAAAAAAAAAAAAAAAGGAAATGAACTAAATGCCCAATGATCAATCAGAGGTTAAATAAATTGATGGTATTTTCACTTGGTAAAGTAGTAAGCAGTCATAAAAACGTTTTAAAAAAAACATTATCATGAGTAAATATTTTAGTTATAATAGTAAGTGAAAAAAGTCCACATACATATACAAATGTATATCTATGTGCAGTATGAAAATATGACAAAGCACTATCACCTGTCATCTTTGGGTGACATTATAGGCGATAATTTCTTTTCTTTCTACTTATCTACCTTTCCATGTTTTAAAATGAGAATGTACTAATTTAGAATAAATACACGACAGATGAATGGATAAAGAAGATATGGCACATATATACAATGGAATATTACTCAGCCATAAAAAGAAACAAAATTGAGTTATTTGTAGTGAGGTGGATGGACCTATATATAGTCTGTCATACAGCGTGAAGTAAGTCAGAAAGAGAAAAACAAATACCGTATGCTAACACATATATATGGAATCTAAAAAAAAAAAAAAATGGTCATGAGGAACCTAGGGGCAAGACAGGAATAAAGATGCAGACCTACTAGAGAACAGACTTGAGGACACTGGGAGGGGAAAGGGTAAGCTGGGACAAAGTGAGAGAGTGGCATGGACATATATACACTATCAAATGTAAAACAGATAGCTAGTGGGAAGCAGCCACATAGCACAGGGAAATCAGCTCCGTGCTTTGTGACCACCCAGAGGGGTGGGATAGGGAAGGTGGGAGGGAGGGAGACGCAAGAGGGAAGAGATATGGGGATATATGTGTATGTATAACTGATTCACTTTGTTATAAAGCAGAAACTAACACACCATTGTAATGCAATTATACTCCAATAAAGATGTTAAAATAAATAAATAAATAAATACAAATGAACAAACTTTTTCTGAAGTGGGTATTTGATCATATTAAATGCTAGTTGCTTCTCTCTGCATTTGCTTGGGCAGCTTAAGGAGTTATATTTCCCATACAAAATGTCAATTAAAAAGCTAAAAAAAAAAAAAGACAAACACATGGCTTCACACATCTCTAGCTTCCACACACAAAAAAGGAAAAAGACATCTCCCTTCACCATGGCACTCTTTTCATTCCTTCTCGTACTCCTGGTGCAGTAATTCTCCTCGTGGGCACTTCTCTGGGGTGATTTGCACAACAGTTTTTGAAATCAGTAGGAAACCCTTTAGATTATTTCATTTCCTGCCTGACCCTTGAGTTGGGGCAAGTTTCGTTCCATGCAAACAAGAAAGGACCGATTTGAATTTACCCTTGAATGTGGCTCAAAAAATGATCTCAAGAAGGAGTAGCTTTCTGCTAATTGAGAGAGAAGACAGGTGGGGTTGGGAGACCTGATTTATAGCCAAACCAAAGCAGATCAGAGACAACGATGAAAATAAAAATGGGCAGATTGTAAACATCAATGGCAATTTATTGCTGAGAGCATGTACAAGACAGCTGCAGGGCCCTGGCAGTGCCATTCCAGTACATCTAGAAGGGGAAAGTCAGTACTTTGCTCTCATTCATTTCCGAGTTTTAAAATCCAACATGTGTGTCTAGAACCACCTCCACTCCCCATTGGCTTACAAGCAGGAGAGCTGGATTTGCTAGAAGAGTCACTTGTAAAGCTCTGCCTGGAGCAGTCATAGTCACTGAGCGAAGCCATGCTTTCGGAAAACCGGGAAGAGTCTGAATCACTTGGCTGGTCCTCGCCCACACACTGCTTCTCACCATTGAAGGGCATTTTGTGTCACTGGAGTGCGGGTAAAGAGGCAGCACCTGCACAGACAAACAGACCCTGTGTCAACGTTCTGCGGTACTCCCTCCAGTGGTGCTGGCGCTTCGTTCAATGTAGAAAGCCGTGTCGCATGTGTCACAGCACTGGAAAGGCCCCCAGAAGATGACCTCCTTCCTCCCATGGCACCCGGGCCAGGCTATCACTAGGCCTGCAAGACTGCCTTCCAGAAAGGGATTCCACAGCCAAGGTATGCGCTCACACAGGACATACTTGGTGTGAACGTGGAGCAGCCCCCAGCAATAAAGCATCCTCAAAAAACAATGCGCAGAGCACACACTCTCTCCTCCTGAGGGTGCTAAAGCGTGGGAGGGTAAGAGTGAGAGTGTGGGGCTCTGGGTTTGAAGCTTGTTCTGTCTTTTGACATGTGACCTTGGAGAAGTCACTTAACTCCCTACCTCATGAGTCAAGCTGGGCTGAAAGACTAACCTCATAGGGTTGCTTGAAGATGAAACAGGATTAATCTTATTAAAGTGCTTAGCACAGCATTCAAATGTTTGCTATTATTATTGTTCCTCTGTCTTTGTTTTAAATAAAATATTTTTGAAATCAGCCTTTTTAGTTGTCTGTGAGCCTCCTAGGGAAAGAGGAAGACTAATTAAAATTTCTGCCCAGCAAGTATATAGGTTTTTCTCCTCCATTTTCCCATGAACTGTCACGCTATGAAGAGTAAGGCTTGGTATTTCGTTTGTGCTTTAGACAGTACCTACTGCCATCCAATGAACAAACAGGCACAAAAGATCCTGATTCACAGGTTGGGGGGAGAACAGACACTAGGAGACATACTGTGCCATAAAACCAGTCCCTGGACTCTATATCCATGGCTGTTTCTGGGACATCAGATTGCTTCCCAGGGAAGGGCAGGGCAGTTGGGCCCAGTCAGCCACTGGAAAGGAGATCCTGGGTACCCAGGACGCTCAGGCCTGATCCCAGGATCCTCAGCCAGGCCTGGGAGGAAGCTGGCCCTGATATGAGTGTGGTGATAGCTGACACTGAGGGGAAACCTGGGCCCGAGGAGAAAGGCACCTCAAATCCTGAACAGATGGCAATGATAGTAAGGGTTCACTGAGTCTCTTTAAACCTGAGCCAGCAATGAGATACTCAGAGCTTTTAAAGCTATCAGAACGGGAAACCACAACTACCCATGGAATGCCTGGAAATGCCTGCAGTTTCTTCAATGATTCCTTTGATGTGTATTAAGTGCCTACTATGCACCAGGCACTGGGAAAAGTAACAGTGAACAAAATACACAGGGCCATCCTCTCATGGCTCTCAAGTCCAGTTACCTAAAACTGCGTGTGCCAGATGCTAGAGGACAAGGAACGGGAAACCAAGGCATTGCTGAGGAAGCACGCGAAAGGAGAGGCAGGGTTGGGACCAAGGTAGGGGGATCGAGCCTTTGCTGAGAGAAACAGTGCTATTCTTTATCCTTCGGGTGATGACAGAGAAATGGATGGGCCTGAGAGGGACTTACTAAAGGTCAAAAGCCAAGGGCACTTGCCCCTGGCCTCACCTAAACAACCTCTCCAGTCCTGCCACTTGTAGAAATGCACCCGTGCTCAGCCTACCACTTTCGCAAACAGAAAACCACCAACTTGGAGGCTGCCTCTGCAAACCGAAGGGCAGGGAGCGGGGACGAGCTGCCAGGAAGCTCCCCAGTAGATACACTCGCCTTCTCCTAAAGCCCAGAAGCCAACCATCTCGGACACAGACTGAGGGCCGACCCCTGGCATCCTCGGCAGTGAACTCACCTCCTTTACCGCAGGCAAACTAGATTCTCCTTGAGCGTTAACTCCCATCTGCTGGAAGGGGGACAGGTGGGGGTGAGGATAGAGGACAGAAGAAAGGGGTCTGCTCCAACCCTTCCAATTCCACCGAACCCCAGATCCCAACTGGTGCGCTTACCCTTCCCTCTAGGCTTCTCTCTTCGCCAACATTTTACTTCTCACTGATGGCATTTCTCGAAAATGCTAGCTTCTCCAGGAAGCCTTCCCTCTACGCCGTGGCCAGAGCTAAGGACACTCTTCTTTGTACACCTGCAGCACATTTCTTGTATCTGCACAATAGCACTTAGACCCTTGTAGCTATTTTCCTCCTGTGGCTACTTCCGACTCTCCTTAATAGGCAGGAACTGTGTCTCGTCCCACCATCATCAGTGTCAAGTATGTGACAAATATTCATTTGGTGTTAGCTGAATGGGAATCACTGAATCCCATCTGGTACAGCTGCAGCCAGAACATTTGCAAACTGATTATCACTTCACATTTACAGGCCTGCTGCTGTCAAAGTTCAAGGTCTGGAGCAGAGTACCTACCACCTCAACCTGCTTTATTAGGCTTAAGACTCAATATTCCCTGGTGCTGGCACACTCTTACTAGAATATCTTAAACTCTGTTTCCATTTTATTATTTCTTTCATTCATTCAACTGTAACAACTGTGCTGTGATGCTCTGCCCTCAATTTCTCTTCGCTTTGGCTATTTTTCCAAGTAAGAGTGAATAAGAGCTTCCATCCAGTGGAATTTATGAACTGGGTTAATAGCTATAACTATCCATTTCACTTTTCTACTCCAGCTGAACAGCGCACTTCATAGGTTTCTTAACTGTGTCTAACAAGGCAGCTAAGTACAATGATTAAAAAAAAATAAAAAGCTCTAGGTTAGGAGGTAGAAGTCCTGGGTGTAAGGCCTGGGTCTGTTGTTGATTTGCTGCATGACTTTATCCACATCGAGTCTGCTCTCTTCACCTCATTTTTCTGAGGGGGCTGGGCCAGCTACCAGGTGTCTTCTAGTGAGGAATTGCTAACATGCTATAAACCCAGAGTTCCATGAGGCATCACTAGAAGCTCTGAGAAATTAAATACGCTCATGGCAGACATACTTAATAACATGCAACTACGCTTTCTTCCAACAATTCACTGGAGGTAGAGTTTCTGGCATAGGGGATGTAACAGAAAATGTTAAAGCATCAAAATGTTTAGAAACTCTTGTTTAGTTAAGCCTCCACATTACATCTGGGTTTTAGTGGACCCAAGCAGAAACTTTTCTTTGAGGCCAAAATGCACACTATTACTCTATCAAGAAATCGCCTGCGTCCTCATATTAATAATACCTAACTCACAGGCTTGGTGTGAGATTTCATTCAGTCAATCTATGTAGAGTGCTTGGAACAGTGTCTGGCACAGAGTAAACAGGATACAGGTGTTTGCTATTGTTAGTATTATTTGCTTTAGTAGTTGTTATTATCATCATTTCAGTCATTAAAAACTCTAGAGGGAAGAACATGATGATAAAAGCATGTTACCCTACAGATAACAAAGACCGGTATTTAACCTAGGACAGAATTCTTGCATTTGTTTGAAATACAAAAATCAAAAGCAAATGGCCCATCATGGTGTAAACAGTTTTCTGTAAGTTCCTTCACACTTGCTCTTACCTTTCTTGGTCTCTGGTTTCCATACAGGTCATCTGGGGACAAAGCTACTTGACTCAAAGACACTGACGGTAATTAGACTGTTTTTAAAGCTATTTTGGATTCTCTCTTAGAATAGTGATAACGAAAACAGGTTGTTTCTTTAAGAAAGGTAATGTTTCTCATACTGACAAACCTAGATTTACTTAACCTTCACCACTGCGACTCACAAACCAAACAACTTTCCAGGAACACCACTTCTCATCCTACCTGGGAGGATTTCCTCACTGGCCAAATGTAAAGTCAATGTGAAGAGAGAAGATAACGCCAAAACAAAGCCTCCAACACTCCAGTGAGTCACTATTCAAAGAGAATAATCACATTTTTCATTGTACTGTTCCACATTTTATAATAATAAAGGCAGTATTATGTCATTCTTTCCAAGGTCAATGACTGGGAGGCAGCAGGCACTTGAATACTTATTGTTGAATGAATGGCAGTATGACCACTGACATTTTAGAGAGGAGGGAACAGGTACAGAGACCTGAAGGGGCTAGTCCTGTGTTCCAGCACATATGGAGCAGAGATCAATTTTTAATTTGCCAGGGATCCTCAGGCTGCATCCAGATTACCGACTTTACTTCCTTATTTCCTTTCTGCAGCAAACTCTATCTGCAAATGATCCTGCACTGGTTCAGGATTGCAAAGATCCACCAGTGACAATGCACATGTCACCGAAGCAGTTAAAACACTGGCTCTGGAGCCAGATGGACTGGTTCCTTGATCTCGACTCGAGATATTTACTGACTGGAGACAGGGAACTTACCATTTATGAATTGGGGACAATACTATTATCTACCTTGTAGAATTGTTGTGAAGATTAATTGAAATAGTCTATGTCAAGTACTTAAACACCTACTAAGTGCTCGACAGATATCAATTATTATTTTATTCTTATTAGAGGAAGTCATGAATTAAAAAAAATATCAATGTCATAAAAAACAAAGAAAGGTTGAGGATATGTTCCAGATGAAAGAGGACTTGACAACCGACTGCAATAGATGATCCTAGATTGCATCCTGTACCAAAGAAAAAAATGCTATAAAGAACATTATTAGGGCTTCCCTGGTGGCGCAGTGGTTGAGAGTCTGCCGCAGATGCAGGGGACACGGGTTCGTGCCCCGGTCCGAGAAGATCCCACATGCCGCGGAGCGGCTGGGCCCGTGAGCCATGGCCGCTGAGCCTGCGCGTCCAGAGCCTGTGCTCTGCAACGGGAGAGGCCACAGCAGGGAGAAACCCCCGTACGAACCGAAAAAAAAAAAAAAAAAAAAGAACATTATTACATCAATTGACAACACGGTTACAATACTTGAATCTACTGTCTGTATTACAATGTTAAATTTACTGAAGTTGATAAATGTGCTGTGATTGTGCATTTAGGAAAAAAGGCCGGCGATATATGCAACTTTCTCTCCAACGAGAGAGAAAAAGACAAAACAATAAAGCCTATGGAGCAAAAGGTTAATAGGTGAATATGAGTAAAATGTAGACAACAGGGAGTTCTTTGTACTGTTCTTGCAACTTTTTCTGTAAGTTTGAAATTATTTCCAAGCAAAAGGTTAAAAGAGAAGAAGTACTGAACCAAAAATTCAAGTCTAATTCAGAACAGCCCAGCCTCCTGTAGTTTTCAGATCTTGATTGTTCCCACCACTACAATAGCTTAGATCCACTCTATTACAGAAACTCTTCTAGACAGTCAAACCCATCCCAATGTCCTTCTTGAACAGTGTCTAGTGAATAAAACATGAAATCGTCCAGAGCCCTTCTGAAAAGGCAAAAGAAATCATCATTTTTAAGAGTTCTTCTCCAGGTGGGTTTCCTTTTCTTAAGAAGTTTCCTGGCAGTGGTTTATAACCTCTCTGTGATCTGGCCTCTGCCCACTTCATTCTGTTACCACTCTCTCCCTAATCCTTCATGCTCTAGACACAATGGCCTTCTTTGGGCTCCTCAGACATGCGAAACTTCCTCCTTTGGAGCACTTGTACCTGCTTTTCTCTTCCAATGGGATGTTCTTCTCCCTGATCTCTGTGTGGTTGGAGCCTTGTTGTCATTCAGATTTGAAAGCAAATGTTACAACTTCAAAGTGACCTTCCTTAATATCTCCACTAATTCCATTTAAATTCGTCATCTTAGAGCTTAGAACACCGCATGGGATAGAGAAGGAGCTCAGTGAGCATCACTGATGAACAAATTAAGCCACATTCTATTCAAAAGACAACTTGGGTCGCCCTTCTCCTCTGCCTCACTCACACTGCTCATATTCCCATTATGCAGTCATTTAAAGTACGATAGTTGTTTTCCGCAAATCTGCCTCGCCACTAAATTTTAAGCTCCTTGTGGGAAGAAGCTACATCTCCCTTCTCCAATTCCCAGTGCAAATTAGCAAAGACTCACAGTCCCAGAGCTTAGAGAAACTTTTACATTGTGCCTTTCCAACTCCGGATGCTAACTGATAGCAAATAATAACAATTGGAGTTAACAGTTATTGAATACTTACCATGGCTCGGCCCCCATGATAAGTGCTTAAAATCTTTACCTTTTATCTTCTTGAATCTTCATCATAACCTTGTTAGCTAAGGTATCTTCTTGAATCTTCATCATAACCTTGTTAGCTAAGGTATCATCATTATCCCTGTTTTATAGATAAGAACCTGAGGCTCAGAGAGGTTAAGTTATTTGCTCGAGGGTTCACAGCAGCGGCAGAGGCACAACTCTAATCCAGGCAGTGGATCCTTAAAGCCTGTGCTCTTTACCACCCTAGGATGGCTGCAGAAAATTTGGTGTACTGCTCATTCTTTCCTCTCCCACTCTGCCATCGATCTACGCACTACCATGTGGACACTTGCACATGTGGTAACAAGCTGACCTTACCCCCGGGGTGTCTGCTTAAGTGCTATGCCGTGAAGGGCATCACTGAAAGAGTCCATTGACCAAACTTATTCTCAACCACCCCACTAGATTGACTGAAAATCCTCTATCAGGGAGCCATTCTTTATGCACTGCAAAATCCCTCCTTAAAACCCAAATATTATCAAAAGGGTTAATTGCTTATAGCTAGCATGAGTCAAAAGCATTTTGAAGTGAATTATTCAGATTATCCAGCAGGGCCCTGAGGAATGGAACCCATTCAATTAAGGTTAAGTCATGAAAAGAGAAAATTTCAAGAAATACCTAGCGGGTATCATTCTTCAAGACCAGATCAAGGTCAGCTGCAAAGACAAGCATTCATATATTTGTAGTAAAGGGCAGGGAGTCAGAGGAGTAGGACTGGGCTCTGAAGAAAACACTGCAGGTGATAAGGAAAAATCTTCATCTTCTGCGAAGTGCTGCTTTAGAACCAGTCCTAAAGAGCAGCAGCGCTTAAAAAGTTATTCACACGCAAAAAAGCAAAAACCACAGGGCAGAGAGGTAGGTGCCTGCTCCATTCAGCTAGAGAATACTGGTCTGCATCAAATTAGACCCAACAAAGAGCTAGATAAAAGCCAACAAAGCCAGTCATTGTCTAAAACAGCAGATGTTCACGCCACACATAACATTACAACGTCAGGGAGAAGGATTTCTAGGCACTTTTCACACTTGAAAACACTTCTTCTCCCACCCCTGGTTGGCCTGTTTTAGTGCCTGTTTCCCCCTCTGGGCCCTCAACCGTCCACAAAATGGCACTGAAGCTGCTTCCACACACGACTGGGTATCTTCAGCCCTGGGCCACTTCAAGTCAGGCAAACTCCACGGGCTGCCAGGGTGATAGATGAAATCCCTGGAGGCAAGAGGAAAAGGCAGGCCGAGCGCCTCCTGCAGTGGGAACCACTGTCATAACCTCATTAAGTTTGCAGGTGGGACAGAGCAAGGTCTCTGACTGGGCTGGAGACCCACGGGACCAAGAGGATCTTGGGGGCCGAGGGGCCGACCAGGGACAAGGACAGCTTGTCTAGTTTCTTCAAGGTGAAAGTCACAGGATAACCATCGAAGACAGCATAAACTTTAGTCACTTGAGGGCCACTCTTCACGCCTGTTTCCACATTTCCATCCTCACCTGTGCTCTATCAAACACTTCTCTTTATCTGAACTAGATTTTTGCATTTAGATACACTTAGTTTGAAAGGAAACTTTATATCATTGTGAAGTCGCTCGGCTTAAGGGAACAGTTTTTCTTAATACTAACGAAAACACTTAACCACGTTCGTCCACGTGCCATCTCAAATCATCGCTGTGACCCGAAGTGGCGCCACACAGAGTAGCAGCCTTGGGAAGCACAAGCCAACCCTGACCGCCCGAGGGTTCGAGCCCGGGCCTGGTGGGCATGTCCCGCCTCTTCCCCGCAACTGAGGGTACAGTCGTGCGGACGCATCGGCACACCCCTCGCCCACGTCCTCTGGGCGCCCCTCCCCTCCAGCAGCACGTTTCCTGTCAAAACAAACTCTTGGGGGAGGGGACGGCGTAGGCCGAGCCGAGCACCGAGGAAACCCGGGCAACAAACCCCAAACACACAGGTGGGGCCCCTCCCGGCCCCGACAGCGACTCAGTTCGCCCACCCGGGCAAGGGGTTGCAGGCGACAGGATGCCCGCTCCCGGAGCCCCGATGGTGGGAAGCCGCTCGCGGCGCGGTCGCTGGCACGGACCCAGGGGGATGTAAGCAGAGGCCAAGCGGCCCCGACCCTGGCGCCTCCAGGGCCCGAAGCCCGCGGCCGCTCCAACACCCACCGTGGCCACTCGGCGCCCGCGTCCCGCTCCCACGCGGGACAGCGGTTCGAGGTCAAACAAGGTGATGTGGCGGGTTGGGGGAGCAAGGAGCGGACCTTTACCGCCCCTGCCCCCGGGTCCCAGGACGGCGCTCCAAGGTGTGGTGGGGGAGACCCTCGGGCTGCCCGGGGGCGACGTGTCCCTCTCCGCCGGCCCGGGCCCATCGCCTCAGAGCCCGCGACCCCCTTCCCCGGGATGGTACGCACCGGCTCCGACGCGGCGACAGGCGGAGGAGAAAGGCGACTGAGTGAGCCCGGTTCGGGCGTCTCTGGGTGTTCCCTCGCCCAGCACGGCATAAACACCTCAGAAGCCCAGGAGTCCAGCAACCCTCAACCTCCCCGGCCCCCTCCTACCCCCCACGCGGCATTTAAAGGGCCGGGAGGGACTCTAGAGAGGCAGCCACGGCGTGGCCATCACGTAACCGGAGAGAGGGGGGAAGACGGCATCGGGGAGAAGGGGAAATCTAGGGCACTTCAGCTTCCATGTCCGAGCTCTGACAGATCTGACCTAATACAGGACATTTCCCTCATCTTCGGATGAAAGAGGCCAAGGAGAGCTCGGATTGGGTGTGTTCTGGGTGCGAGAGGGAACGGTTTCCCCCCCGTGGGCTGAGAGTGGTGCGGTCCGGGGACTGCTAGGGGCGGGGAGAGAAGTGTTTACGGAACTAGGGCAGCGGTGCCATCCCCAGCTCTCTGTGTTGGAGGCGGGGCCTGTCGGGACGCTGGGGACGGGGCGGAGCGGGGATTCTGGGGGCGGAGCGGGGATTCTGGGGGCGGAACGGGGATCCTGGGGACAGGGCGGAGCCACCGGCGGAGGTGCTTGTGGAGCGCTGCATTGACCCCACCCCGCGACCCCGGGCTCCCGGGGCGCACCACCGTAAGCAATGCTGCTAGGTCCCCGGCCGCGCGTGGAACTTTTACAGCCCGAACACCCCTCATCTAGACTGGGCGATCCAAGTTAAGTGCCCACTATCACACGGTCTAAACTGAGACAATCCAACCCACAAACGGGCAAGTGCATTCCCACTCACGTCAGCAACCAACTTGTCACCTATGTTTGTGTCTGCACGTCCACAGAAGCAGGAGTCCAGATTTGCATATGGCTGGACAGGACGATTAGCTCCGGGAAGTCACACCCACCCAGGCTCTCTGAAGACGTAAACTTCGTGTGGACGCGAAAGATAAAGCATCTTACTTCCCCTAGGGTTCTTGGGCATCTATTTCCCGGAGAAGTTTCGACAGCGGTCAATGTAAATAAGCAGTCCCAGGGAGCTCGGTGCGGTCAGGCCTACTGTTCGGCTCTGCTGTGGGTGTGCTTCAGAGTGTACA